CTAGCAGCTTCTTCTTAATTGGCTCCATGTGTCCTAATTAGCCTGCCTGCCTTAACTGGTTCTAGCAGGTTCCTGATTACTCTAGTGCAGCCCCTGCTCTGGTCACTCAGGGAACAGAAAACTACTCATCCAGTGACCAGTATATTTGCCCTCGACCAGACTCCTGTACCCCACTGGTCTGGGTCTGTCACAACAGATTATAGTGTGGTCAGGAGAGCTGGTGCATTTCTGTGCTCTCTAGTATTGTCTATGTCCAGTGGAACTTTAACTTTATTTCTTTTGGGTAAAGTACAGAAAATTAAGGGGAAGTTCAGCAGAGAAGTTTGTGCAAGAAGTACAGGATAAGTGTCCAGAAACAGATCTGGCATCAGCTCAAGAGGAGCGGAACTACCTCAGAGGAATGTGGATTGTGGTGGTGGCAGAGGCTTAGAGATGAAATGGGGAAAACCAAGGGAAAGTGTAGGAGGGGTTGTGGACCAATGAAGTGAAAATAGTGATCCAAAAAAAGAAAAATGATTCATAAAAAAAACCCATCCAGTGTGAATGAAAATGAATGCAAAGCATCAAAGCAGGCTGCCAAGTGGGCGGTGAAGAAGGCCAAAGAAAGAATGCCCTAGATGTCCTGTATGCTGAGCTTTTAAGTGCACTGCAAATATGAGCTGTAAAGGGAAGGAGGATGGTATTGCAGTACCATTGTAAATCTCAGAAATGTAGGGTGGGAACGGACCTCGAGAAGTCATTAAGTCCAGACCCACCCACCCCCCCTTGCACAGAGGCAGGACCAAGTAAACCTAGACCATCCCTTACAGGTGTTTGTCCAACCTGTTCTTATAAGCCTCCCGTGATGGGGATTCCACAACCTCCTTTGGAAGCTTATTCCATAACTTAACTACCCTTAGAGTTAGAAAGTTTTTTTCCTAATATCTAACCTAAATCTCCCTTGCTGCAGATCATGCCCATTACTTCTTATCCTACCTTCAGAGGACATGGAGAACAATTGATCTCAGTCCTCTTTATAACAGCCCTTAACATACTTGAAGACTTATCAGGTCTCTTCAGTCTTCTTTTCTCAAAACAAAACATGCCCAATTTTTTTAACCTTTCCCAATAGGTCAGGTTTTCTAAACCTTTCAGAATTTTTGATGCTCTCCTCTGGACTCTCTCCAATTTATCCACATCTTTCCTAAAGTGTGGCACTCGGAACTGGACACAGCATTAAGGCTGAGGCCACACCAGTGCTGAGCAGGACAATTATCTCCCATGTCTTACATGCAACAGTCCTGCTAATACACCCCACAATGCCATTAGCCTTCTTTGCAACTACATCAGATTGACTCATTCAATTTGTGATGGACGAGAACCCCCAGATCTTTTCAGCAATACTACCAACTAGCCAGTTATTCCCCATTCTGGAGCTGTGCCCTTGATTTTTCCTTCCTAAGTGAAGTACTTCACATTTGTCTTTATTGAAATTCATTTTGTTGAATGAAGACCAATTCTCTAATTCGTCAAGGTCATTTTGAATTCTAATCCTGTCCTCCAAAGTGCTTGCAACCCCTCCCAGTTTGGTGTCATCCCCTGATTTTAAGCACATACTCTCCACTTGGTTATCCAAGTCATTAATTAAAATATTGACTGCTACCAGACCCAAGACTGACCCCTGCGGAACTCCACTAGATCCAGCCTCCAGTTTGACAGCAAACCATTGATAACTACACTTTTGAGTACAGTCTTTCAGTCAGTTGTGCACACACCTTATAATAAAGGTGGTGTAAATTAAATTCTCTAGTTTGCCTATGAAAATACAATTTGGGATTGCGTCAAAAGTCCTACTAAAAACCAAGATCTATCACTTGCACTGCTTTCCCCACATCCGCTAGGATAGTAACCCTGTCAAAGAAGGAAATTGGGCTGGTTTGGCTGTTCCTCAACCTTTTTCGTCTGGCGGGCACCAGACGATGAGCCACGGAGGACTGTGCCAGCAGACGAGCATCCGCCGAAATGCCGCCGACAAGCAGCAACGTCAATAGGTGTCGCCGCCGAAATGCCGCTGACAAGCAGCGTCATCCAGAGGCATCGCCGCCAAAATGCTGCTGATTTTCGACGGCATTTCGACAGCGACGCCTCTGGATGCTGCTGCTTCTCGGCGGCATTTCGAAGGATGCTTGTCCACCGGCCAGAACGCAGGCGCACTTAGACGCCCCGGCGGGCGCCATGGAACCCACGGGCACCGCGTTGGGGACCCCTGTTCTAGAGGTTTACAAATTGAGTGTTTAATAAATTGTTACAGTATCTTTCCAGGTATCCAAGTTAGACTGACAGGTCTATAACCCTCCGGGTCCTCTTTGTTCCCTTTTGAAGGCAGGTCCTGTGTTTCCCCTTCTCCAGTCTTCTGGCACCTCACCTATCCTCCAGGCGTTCCCAAAGATAATCACTAACAGTTCTGAGATTGCTTCAGCTAGTTCCTGAAATCCCCTAAAATGAACTCCATAAGGTCCTGCCAATCTGAATGCATCTAACTTATTTAAATATTTTTAACCTGATCTTTCCCTATTTTGGCTTGCGTTCCTTCCCTCTTGTTAATATTAATTGTATTGAGTATTTGTCACCATTAACCTTTTTCGTGAAGACTGACGCAAAATAGACATTAAACACCTCAGCTTACTTGATGTCATCAATTATTAAGTCTCCTTCCCCACTAACCTACACTTGCCTTTGTCTTTCTCTTGCTTCTAATGTATTTAAAGAATCTCTTCTTATTGCCTTTTATGTCCCCGGCTAAGTGTAACTCATGTGGTGCCTTATCCTTTCTGGTTTTGTCCCTACACACTTATGCTATTTGTTTGTACTTCTCCTTAGCGCTTTGTCCAGGTTTCCACTTCCTGTGGGATTCCTTTTTGATTGCCAGGCAATTAAAGAGCTCCTGATGGAGCCATATTGGTGTCTCACTATTCTTCCTAAATTTCCTTCGCATTGGAATAGTTGGCAGTTTTGTGCTTAACATCTCCTTGAGAAACTGCCAGCTCTCCTTTACCTCTTAAATTTTCTTGCCATGGCACCTTATCCACCGGTTCCCTGAGCTGAAGATCAGGGGAGACTACTAGTAACACCTGAACAAGTGAAGAAGAAGGGAAAACAATACTTTGAACATCTCTTAAATGAGACAAACCCCTTTAGGGCAGAGGTGTCAATGTGGTGCCAGATAAAACAAGTTTATTAATTACAAAAGATAGATTTTAAATTACTACAAGTAGTAAGGCATACAAGTCATAATTGGTTACAAATAAATACAAAGTAAAACACAACTAATACCTAACTTAACCAACTAAGTCAATTCAAGTCCTTTCAGCCAGTAACCCTCTCCAGTCCAACGATGCTTCCTTTGTCCTTCAAATATTGTCGACGCCGCAAGTAAAGATGAAGGGAGAGATGATTTGGGAGCTTTGTTCTTCCTTCTTATGCTGTTCTTCTTTGAGGGTCATCTCCAACCGAGGTTCAGGATAAATCTGTTGGATGGGAATCCTCAGCTGTTTCTTTGTCAAAATGTAAATCTTTGCACAAATCTTCCTGCCAAAGAATGGCCAATGAACCAGATGATAGTCCACTTGATTTTGTTGACACCTGGCTGAGGCGTTAACTAGCCTTTTGTCTCTGGGGGACTGGTTTGTGGCTGTTTTTAGTACTACCATACAGTAGAATCTTATAACTTTACATACAATGTTGACACACATTTTACCAGGACAATAGTGATCAGCAAATTATGAGTTTTCAAATGATACCTCACCAGGCATACTTTGTAAAAGTTTTATCATAGTCCTATTAAAAGGGGTGAATGTAGGGGTACAGACTGTCACACCAACAGGATAGCTTCTGGGCTTTTATAGACCAAGAAAAGGCATACAATACAGTGTTCACATCAGTGCTGAGGAAATATGGAGTGTCTGAAGTTTTAATAACTATGGTGAATGCCCTATATAGATCACCTAAAACAGTGACCCAAATGTTTTTTGGAATTAAACGTCTATTTGCAATGAAAGTCAGACTGACCCGGGGATCAGCCTGCACCCAGAGCCAGCCCTAATTCTGCTGCTGGTTATCATATTGATGGACTATGTCAGCAGGAAGATCCCAGTTGGGAAAGGTGAGAAGCTGCTATATGCTGATGACATAGCAATAAGGGCATCCTCAAATGAAGTCCTAGAGAAAATAGTAAACCAGTGGTATGACCAGCTAAGCTGGCATGGGATGAAAATGAGAATGATGAAGATCGAGGTTGTGTGGGGCAGTAGAGGTGCCACCAGAAGACTGGATGTAGAGATTAATGGAGTGAGATTAAATCAGACTGAGCAGTTCAAGTACCTTGGCAGCTGGGCCATGGAAGATGGCGAGCTTGAACATGAGATTTGGGGATGCTGGAAGACTAAAATAACTCAGGTGGTGCATTTGACAAGCATAATGTGACAGGGGGGGGGAACCCCATCCAGTGCAAGATGAGTGCACCCCATCCTCCAAGCTGCGCTCTACCTCAGGCCAGCAAGGCTAAATGGCTAGTGGGCTGCCCTTACCCACAGGGCAATCACGGTAGGGGGCCAACCTGCTCCACCAGGTCCCAGCCCAAGACCCTAACAATAGTGGAGTGCTCTGCCACGGAGTCAGAAGGGCTCCAACCAAAACATGCCAACTTCCCACAGGACTATAGCTAGTCCCCCCAGGCCACTTCCTACCATGTCTCTCAGAGCAATAGTTGGGGTGACATCTGGGTCTCTGGGCTTCCCAGCACACACAGTTCCTGGTGACTCCAGTTCCTATTGGGCAGCCATAGGTATCTGGGCATCTGTCTGGGTCTTAGCACCACTGGCTTCTACAGTCAGGGTTTCAGCTGCTCCCAGGCCGGATCATGCAAAGTACATCCTTCCTCCTTGGCAGTCAGCCCAGACTGAGTTGGGCTGATCCCTATTATACTAGTGCTACACTTGGAGCATGCCCAGTAGGGACGGGGTGGGTGTGTGGCTTCTTCAGCCCACAATGAGGAATTATCCCTTCCCCATCCAGTGCAGGATGAGTGCACCCTATCACCCATGTGCTGCTGAGACTGAAAACCCAACTGTCTGGAACAACGGTGCACCACACAACGCTGTACAGCGCAGAAGCCTGGGCGATAAAGAGATGGCACGTTCAGTGTCTACAGGTCTTCACACCATAAGAGGAGTTACACAAAGAGACAGGTTTAAAAATGAAAGTACTAGGATGGAAGCCAAAGCCTGTGATGTGGCCAACAAAATCCAGGACACGCAACTTTGCTGGTTCAGACACATGTGGAGAGTGAATGAAGGGCACTTGGTGAAGACAGCATGGCAGGCAGCACACGGGGGCTATAGGGGAGGAGGCAGCATACCTATAGGCTCTCCATAGCCAGGGGAGCAGGCGGCACATGGGGGCTAAAAGGGAGCAGTCAGCACACCGGGGCTATAGGGGAGGAGGCAGCATACCTATAGGCTCTCCATAGCCAGGGGAGCAGGGGCACACGGGGCTATAGGGGAGCAGTCAGCACACCGGGGCTATAGGGGAGGAGGCAGCATACCTATAGGCTCTCCATAGCCAGGGGAGCAGGGGCACACGGGGGCTATAGGGGAGGAGGCGGTGTACCTATAGGGTCTCTATAGCCAGGGGAGCAGGCGACACATGGGGCTATAGGGGAGCAGGCGGTACACCTATAGGGTCTCTATAGCCAGGGGAGCAGGCGGCACATGGGGGGGATCGGGGAGGAGGCGGGAGACCCGTAGGGTGT